GTCGGAGGTCTAAATCCTTGATTATCTTGAAATCCTATTTGACAACATCTTTCCGGCCTTTAATAAGAAAGGTTTATCTCATCAAAATAACCATAGTTTTCTAAAACTGTTTTAGCAGTTGTCATCTGACTTTCAGGTGTAAAGTCATGTTTTCTTCGGGTGACTTAGGTAAACTTGTTACATATATATTCTTAATAGTTTTCATAATAATCAATAAATACACTATGTTGATCTAATCATGTGTTTAAAAAAAAAAAAAATAAAATAAATAATTATCAATTTTATTAAATTAATTTTATTTTTTATTTATAATTTCAAAAAATTACTTTATTTTTAAAAATTTTTATTTAAAAATTTTTTAAATTTAAGAATAAATTTTTGAAAGTATTATAAATAATTATATTTATAAAGTTTTTTATTGAATTATTGAATTAGAAGAATTAAGCAGAAATTTTATAAATAATAAAAAATTTAATTTCTATATTAAAATAATTGTTATATTATATAAAAATAAAAATTTTTTTTTTATTTTTAAATTAAATTACATAATAATTTTATATTTAAAAAAATTAAAAATTTTTATATTAAAAAATAAATTTAAAATTTTCATTTATTTTATAAAAAAGCTAAACTAAATTTCTTTATTAAATTATAAATAAATTATTTATAAAATTATATAAAAGCAAAAGTTTTTTATTATGTATTAATGTAATAAATAAACAAGTATTTAATTTCTTTTCTTTCTTTCTTTCTTTCTTTTTTTTTAACAAAAAATTATTCTATTTTTATATTTATATTAAATATAAAATTTAAGAATGCAAGTAAAACAAAATTTAATAAATATTCTTAAGTAGCTCAAACTATAAAAATATTTTTATAAATTTGATAAAATTACTGTATATTAAAAAATCAACTATCAATCATGCTTTTATTTTCCAATTAAAATTTTTACGGATCAATTTAAATTGGCGATAATAATTACCGAATTTAATTCTTGTGATTGATTATCTATACGCACGTATAGCTAATTTGGAATTTAGTACGACTGCAAGTTGTATAACAAGTGAATACGTACAATATTTCATTCATTATCTCTTATTTATGGAGTCAAGCAAAGAATTATTCGAATTGGCTGTTTCCGAGCATGGATTAAATAAAGTGATTATCACAGAATGCAAAAACAAGAAAAGGATTGGAAGAGGTGGATTTGGAACCGTGTTTAAATGTGATATTGGCGTAAGTTTTGGAATGGTAGCAATAAAGGAAATGCCCGTATGTGACGAAGACGATAGGAACACAATCAAGGTTTTTCTCAATGAGGTACGAATATTACGAATATTGCAGTAAGGTCTTTGATTTCAA